AAGAACTTGACGATGAAAACACACGTGACAAATTAGAAATATATTTCAATTTTGCAGTTGAACGTTGTTGACCAGCACCGAATTAAAAAGTTGACAATATTTACCGTTTTGTCTGACGTATTTTTCCCCATTTTTTTTTTTTTTTTTTCAACTCTCCCATAGCCATTTGCTTCTCTTTCTATATCTCTATCTCTCTTTCTCTTATTTTCATCACGAAACGTAAGAGCATGATTCATATAACTCGACGGTGTCTGCCGGTGCAGAGATAGAAGGTAGAAATTTGCATACAACATCTCTAGGAGGTAGACATCTGTAATCCTTCGCCAAACGTTTTCCCTTTTTCCTTTTTCTCTCTCTTTTTTTGTTTTTTTTCTTTTCATTTCGAAGAAGGGAATGAACGAACGAACGAAACCTGAAACTTCTTCTTGGTCGCAAAAGTGTCCGTGGGTGTATGTCGAGTTTATCTATGGTGTAGTTGTTCCAAACCGTACACTTTACGCCGAACTAAAAACACAATATTCCCAAGAGAGATGGGATATACACGGATGAGAGCCAAATAAAATCCCTACCACCCCCCCCTCCTCCTCCTTCTCCCCCCAAACCCAAAGAAAAAGAAAATGGAAACGAAATAATAATGAAAGAAATAAAGAATGATAAGATCAAATTGTTTGATTACAAAGTTGCACACACCGGGTGATGGTGTATTCATCATCGTTGAAACGTGCAACAAGAAGATAAATAAAAAAAAGTTTGATTTTATTAAAGTACAGTAGAAAATGTAACAAAAGTACGTGGATTATTTTTGTCATTGAAATTGAACGAATTAATCAAAACGTTTGATCAAAAGTATTTCGTTAAAAATGCATCAAATATCATAAGATTCACCTTTAGAAAAATTCTTATCAAATTCTTTGGAAAGTATAAGATAAAAAGATTAAAAAAACAATTGGAAGAAAATTTCAAGAGATTATTATTATCATCTTGAAGGAAAACCTGATTGAAAAGAAAAAAGTAAAAAAAAAATGTCTTCTCAGGAAGAAAGAACCATAGAGGTAGGAATCATATAAGGCATTCCAAGGGCACCACGAACAAGAATTGTGAGAAGTCAGAGAGAAAAGAGAGAGAGAGAGAGAATGAGAGACCTACCGAAAGGACGGTCAATGAACTTTCAGATTCTTTTGTGTTATTCGAAAACGTTCCTAAATCATTTTCATATGCATCATCATAAGGCAATAGCACCAAGTCAACCAACCAGAGGCCAGGGACAAACAACGCCCACGTTATTTTCTTCCTTGTTCCTTCTTTTTATCATTTTTATTTATTTTTTGATTGGTTCCTTTTTTCTTTATCTCTTTCTTTCTTTAGATTTGAGAGATGAGAAGTGTTGTGAGAACAAAGATCATTGTTTTTTCGTTTATATTTTGTTAAATGTTTAGAGGATTTTTATGTTATTTTAATAAGAAGGTTTAATATATATATATA